CCAAGTAAGATAGCTCATTTATGGTAGACAAAAAAGATGCTAAAAATACAAAATCAGGCCTTGTAAACATGGTAAAGAGAAGATTACCTGGAACCTCTTTTCAGTAGCAGACCAAAAAAAGAAAGAGAAAGAAAAAAAGGGGAAAAGATTACAACACAAATTTGAATTTAAGATACTATAAAGTACCATCTATAGTGAAATATTTTTACAAGTTTAATGCAGATAAACTATTAATATATTAAAGGCCTATTATTTTTAGTTTATTACTGCATATAAGAAAAGGCTTAAATTATTCTACTAATGACAGGGAAATCAGAAGAAACAGGTGAAAAAAAATGAGAATTCAACATGGTATTACTTTTCCTTTTCCAGATTGTATAATCTAAATTTCTCTCTCTCTCTCTCTCTATATATATATATTTTTTTTTTTTTAAGATTATCTTCATTCTTAAGAATGGGAAATAAAATCTTCACCAACTTAAAAGACTGGTAGCACTTATACTGCTTTCAAGGAAACTAAAAGAGCCCTTGTTCCAAGCTTAAAAGGGCTCCCCAGTCAGGCCGTCTGAGCAGGCAGAACGGGTCATGCATGATGGATTTGGGACTTCTATTGTAAAGGAAATGGCACTTAAAAAAATTCCTTTAATAGTGTGACTGTAGCAGAATTGGAAGAGATCACATAAGTCATTTCATCCACTTTCCCACTGAAACCAGAATCCTTTCTCCACACGTTGAAAACATCCTTTTAAGCACCTATGACTGACAAGTTAGTGGTCTTCTAAATGAAAAAACCATTCATACCAAATACAGCGATCATATCTCTACTTAGTTTCCTTGTTTTGAAATAAATGATTCCTAAACAACTGATTATTCTTCATATGAAGAGGCCTCCCAGCCTTCTTTCATCTACATCACTTCTTTCTTCTACACTACTGTAAACTGGCAATGTCCTTCTAACACAGAGATCAGTACTGAATAAGCTACTCTAAATATGACACCAGATCTAGATGCTTTATTTCTGTTCGTATAAGATGATGTGGTCCTCTTTGAAGTTGTATCATACTCTGGATGCATCTTTGCACAGATTTCCCTGCTTAAAATACATGATGAATTTCACAGATAATTAATTCCTGCTGTCAGATATATCCAGTGGTGCCTATTATTTGAGTTTCTGCAGAGTCTGGTCTCAAATCTACTTTTTTTGGTCCTTATCTCTCAGCATTTCACTAATGTCAAGATCTTACTTCTAAAATTGACTATGCATTTCCACATTATCTTGTTTTAGAAATTCACTGAAGACATTTTCATCTCACTATAGGAAGCTATAAAAGTAACCCAAGAGTCTATCTTACATTGCTTCACTGAACACACAAATACCATAATTACCCTATTTTAATATTTTTAAGTGAATCACTACATGAAACAGTCCATTACATGAAGGTAAAAGATCTATAAACTGAGTAATATTTCACTGATAAATATGTGTGGCCACATTTGTTTGTATGAGCCTCTAAAAGGAAAACTTTAAAACAATCTAGAATGTGAGCAGTTCATGAAGTCATTTAAAAAACCAAAAAATATATATATAATGAAGACTTTCATAATAACAACCATTTATTGTATCTAAAATTGCAAATCTTTTGTTAGATTTGTCATATTTAATTTTCTAATTATTGACAAGTGTACTTAAAATTAAAAAAATTTTTTTCTAGGAAAAAATTACTTTAAAATACTGTATTTTACACACAATGGAGTGCTACTCTGCATTAAGCAAGATAAACTAGAGTCATTTGCAGGAAAATGGATGCACCTTCAGACCATAATGTTAAGTGAAATAAATTAGACACACAAGCTTAAATATTGCACGTTTTCTCTTATATGAGAAACCCAAAGTATAAATAAAGAGCAAAATAAAAGATAGATAGAAAGTAAGGAGGTTGGGGCCGGGGATTTAGCTCAGTAGTTTCGCCGCTTGCTGTGCAAGCGCAAGGACCCGAGTTCGATCTCCCGCACCAAAAAAAAAAAAAAAGAAAGTAAGGAGGTAGATCTTTATAAAAAGGGAAAAGGGATGAAGAAAGGAGTAAGATGTCTCATGTACACATACCAATTCCTCACAAGGAATGTAAACATGATGTACTGTAAACACGTACAAAGAAATAAGATATCATAAAGATGAAAACAGAACAAATATTATATATTTAAATAAAATATATTCTTTAATAAAACTTACCTTACTACTCCCTGCCTTTGAGAGGAATAAGGGGAAAAACAGAAACATGAAAAGTGATCATGAGTAAATACAGCAATTTATAAGCAAGAGTAAAGCTACCATATATCAGCAGAATTCAAAGGAAATACAAAGCATCTAAATTTTATGTCACATTGTTTTGAATATTTTTATTAAAACTACTGGGAATTTGGAAAAAGTTACTCCTTTAGATATATAAGATTTGCTACAAAAAAAAAGATTTGCTACAAAAACCTTTATTGAAAAAGAAAAACAAAATTATTAAAATTGCTTAGGAAAAAACTACAAAAGTCTCAGAAACATTTTAAAAAGTAGATATTTGATAAGTGTTTTGTTTACAAAATGTTTTGTCTTTCTCACATTTGATGACAAAAATACCTTTATTTAAAATACAAAACCAAATCATATTACATTATCTCCTCAGTAATATATTCAAAATTGATAAAAATAAAACTCTTAATTTTTTGTCTCCTTTGAGTCTACCATTTTGTAAAAAGGAAGACTCTTATGAGCCACATTAATAGAGTCTGCTTTAGCATTTTTCAAAATAATTTAGCAGAACTGATATTGTAAAAAAACTGAGAACAACCAAAAAATTTCAAAAATAATTTTGAAAAACTTAGCTTCTAAAAAGGTAAGCTAACAGCCCAGATGACAGTTATGGCAGTGTTAATCATTCTTCAGGACCAGGAAACTACTTCCATCTGTCAGAATATGAGTCATTCAGCAATGAATGGGGAAATTTAAATATTGTACCATGAATGATGGCCCAGAGATTAAAATTAGGTCACATAATGAACTCATCTGATACATGATAATACTTTAAAAAAAATCAGTACATATGAAAGTGATTTGTAAGAATGTTTAGAATTTTTTCTTCCCTATAGGACACTTTTACTACTTGGATATATAATTTTCTTCATGTGATACTAAGTGTTATATTACAAATATTCTTAGGAACACTGACATTTTGATATTTCTTAGTATGCCTCTAGTTAATAAATTTACAGGTAGTACTCATTACTTTCTGAATATTAAATTTCAGAAGTAGTGTCTCACTATTTTACTGGCTACCTCAAGTTATTCTGCATTTCACTCTAAGGGAGGGATGTCATTGGTTAAGACCTCTCTTAATTCTTTATGTAAAATGTTTCATTTTAACCTAGAAATAATCTATAAATTAGGAATTATAATGCTCATTTTGCCACTGAGGAAACTGAGGTTCAGAAAGAATGAATTATTGTTCAAGGTCACCCAACCAGTAAATTATACAAGGTAATATTTTGGCCCATTTTTTTTTGGTTTCAAAATCCATGTACTTGGCACTGTCTCCCTGCTGCCGTCTACCAAGCTGCTTCAACATGGAATTCTGTACAAGTATTTAGATTATAGTATGATCAACTTGCCTAAAAATATTTTACGCTTTGCCTCTGCACATAACAAAACAGATGGCCACGGTGTAGCCATCTGTTTAGGTGACCTCCCCTCACAGTTATCTGAGGTCTCCTATCAGCAAACTGAGCACCTGAAATAGCATGGGGTGGGCTGAACAGCCTCACCATTCCTCCTAGACTTCCCTGGCAATATTAGGGTCAAAAAGTTCATGATAATCTCTAGTTGTCCCCTTGACCACCCCTGAGGTGCAGCCCAGCCTTCAATATTAAAGCCACAGGTTTCATGTTCACTCTCTCTAGACACGCGTACCAGCTTCTTATGATCAAGTTTCCTCCTCACAGCTTCCACAGAAGTCACTGCTGCAACCACTTCTTACTCCTTTGTTTCTTGCTACTGTTTCTGAATAATCTGTCCTTTACCATTTCTTAAAACTTGCTTGCTTCTCAAGTCCATGCCATGTGCCTCTTTTTTGTTGTTGCTGTCTGTTTTGCAGTTCTGGGGACAGAACTATAGAACTCAGGGCCTCACACATGCTAGGCAAGTGCTCTATCAATGAGCTACATCACCAGCCCCATTTGCCTCTTTACTGTTTTCCATCTTTGATTTTAAAAGCATCAGGTCTGCAATTTCTCTCTTGATCTGTGATCTAGCTCTGAGACTATTAAAAGTTCTCTCCTCATAAAATTGCTATGCATATCTACTTATTTTTGATTTGATAATTATAGACCAAGACTAATAAGTCCCATTAAAAATAAGCTATACTTCAGCCGTCCTGTTTTGGAAAATTCTGAAATGATGGTTTATCCTTGATGAAAGGCACATGGATAGATAGGTCGTTTAAAAACCAAATCAAACCTCTGCTCATAGGCTTCTTAAAAGGTACTGGGCATTGAATTCAGATTTTACTATCTCTCCCAACTCCATCCAATATACTTACAAAAGTTGGCAAGTAAGGTTACTTTAACATATCAACTGTGTATGTGTATGTAACATTCCTTAAATTACGCAAAAGACAGCATTATCACAAAAAAGTATTTAAGGACCAGCATGTTTTCTAAAGAGCTGCTAAGAGTTGTATAAAGTAAGAATACTACTGTGACTTAGATTCTGTGGAAAATCTGCTTAAATAAAAAATTCAATATTAATATCAATATCTTTTTCTTCACCTAATTGTAAGCTTATTACCTCTCATCAACTGAGGGTTCTTTTTGTTGCAAATGAGGCTTGATTCCAAACATTGGGCGAATATTTGTTGATAAGGCTCTGATGGTGTAACTGATTTCATTCTCCCTTGTAACATCAGTGTCATAGCCTACCATCAAAATATAAAAGTTAATCTTTAAATGAAATCAGTTATGATCTTAGATATAGGGATACCCAACAACATGAAATAAATTGCGTTATACTCAAATTATAAAATAATATACAGCCAGTAAAAATTATGTAGAAGAGCATTTAGTGATGTGTAATGATGTTTTTGAACTAAGAGATAAGACCCAGTTACAAAATAAATTTAATATGATCCCTCTTTTGTTGAAAAATTATGTATTGGTAATGTGTCAAACTACCAAAAAACAATTTTTTTGTTTAAAAGTATTATAAATTCCTAAATGCACATATACCTTAGGATGTACCCCAAATGTTAACAAGTTAACTTTTTTTTTGTTTTTTGTTTTGGTTTTTTTTGGTACTGGGGATCGAACTCGGGGACCTTACGCACTTGCAAGGCAGGTGCCAGAACTACTGAGCTAAACCCCCAGCCCCTAACAAGTTAACTTTTGAGTGGAAGAATATAGATACTATGTTTATAGATACTATCTTTATAGATACTATGTTTATTTTTTTATTGCAATAGGTATTTTTCATAATGAACTGGTATTACTGGTATCTTAGGAAAAAAAATCAAAATTATTTTAAAAAATGAAGTTCAATAAATTTTAACAGTACTTATTTAAAATATGATTATCTCACACTTATAGACAAAGAATATCAAGTCATCAATACATGCTAGCCTATTATTCTTGAGTAACAAAACCAATTTTGGTGTCACATTAACATCACAATTACTCAAACATTATTATTACTTTTTGTAACTTCTGCAGTTTAAATCAGCTATGCTAAATTTTTTCTATGATTTTGTTAAAATGTTTTAAAATGACAGACCTCCATCTTCTTCAGAATCTATATCAGATTCTTCACTATCACAAGTCCTTTTCTCTCGATAGCTCTCCATTTCATTTGTCCACACCATTAACGACATATCTGCACCTCCGAGGGTAACCAACATGCTGTCGTCATAAGTCCAGCGAACATTTGTGACATGAGTACTATGGGCCACGTACCTCTTAAACTTTCCAAATTTTCCCTACAGATGAAAAAAATCAAACTCTTTCTGAGAAATTTCTTTATTTGAAAACTTATAATATTGAATGAATATTTTAGTTATTTCTTTCTTAAAGTATCACTAGTAATTAGTTATTCCAAGTGCAACATGTATAAAGTACCAAAATTTGCTGAAATAAAAAAATACCAATTCCAAAATCTGGTGAGAACAGAATTGGTATTTCCCACATGGCTTGGTATCATTTACTCCTTTAGAACTCAACTTGGTATTCTGCATGCTAACAAACTGTTATGTTTGTAAAAAATATTTACCATAGCATTCACTTATGGTAGTGAAAAAATTTAAATGCCTTAAGTATTCAATAGAATAAGAGTTAACTGCAGTATACATCTATGGAGTAGTGTATATGTAATGAAAACAATGTCATACAGATATGTTATTGTTGGAAACCCAATAACTGAAAAAGTATATAAATTCCCTGCACAGCATGGCTATAGTAACAAAAGCATCAATTGCTTTGGGGTATGAAATATCTTTCCTCTTAATTCATTAGTGCTTCTGTTTATAAGACTACACTTAGGAATGAATTTTCCATTTTGTGTATATGTGTGATGCTGAGGATCAATTCCAGGACCTCCCACATGGTTGGCAAGCACCAATGAGCCACATCCTTAGCCCAGTATTTTCCTTTTCAATATAAAAAAAATCCACACAACTCCATGTTATAGATGTTGGCAACTTTTACATCTAGAACATCAGCATTACTAAGCTACATAAGTAAATTTCAGGCCAATATATCATAAGCAGGTTTTAGGTGGACATTTTTTTTTACTCAAATCTTTGATTTTTCTATTTTTTATTTTATCTTCCTTTCACTGGAATTTTGGAGACTTTGATGTTTTTTCTTTTAGTTTCTTTTCTTTCTTTCCCTTCTAACTTTTTTCTCTTCATTTTTATCTTTCTGTTACCTGTTTTTGCTCTGTTTTGCTTTCTTTTTCTTGTTATTTCCTGTAATTGTTGCCTAAACTATTAATTTCCTTATACTCTTCAATAGGATCTCCTATCTCACCTTTCTCTCCTCACATCTCATTTGTTAACTTCTCAAATTTTGCTTTTTTCATTCTGCAGTTCCCCACTTCCTCTACTTTTGTTAATATAACTGCTAAGCTTTACAAATCTCTAGACAGCTAATTAACTTTACATTATTGCTGTTGAATAATGTTCTATTGTTAGTAGAAGTAGAGTTGTTCTAATCAGTAGATATTTACTATAGGTCAATAGTAGGTAAATATTTGGTTTGTTTATACTATATAGATCTCTTTTCAATGATTAAGGGTGGTACATTACTGGTTCTTAGGGTTTAATACTCAATTTGTATTTGATGCTATAATTGATGTTTTTAGTACTATAGTCAAGGTGATATTGCTGTTGCTATTAGCTGGATTTCTTGGGATGCCAATATTTAGACTGCCTTGGAGTCATTACAATACTGTGGTCCATTCCTAGAGAACTGGGTACTGGGCCAAACACCGCAACTTCCTATCCCAGAGGTGGTTGGATCCAGTGCAAAGCTGAAGCAGGAAGACCAACACAACCATGTGAAACACAAGGGCAACTTGAACAAGGGTGATGCTGAGGGACACAGATGGTTCTACATCAATGGAAGGGTGAAGCCCATGGAACTTGCATGCAAATGGTGTGGTCCTGGGCAGCCTGTGAACCTCAGGAAGGAATAAACTATGAGGGGTAAAAAGCCCAAGTCAGCAGTCCTCAGGGAAGCTCTTCCTAGGTGGACATTTTTTAAGGGTGTTAAAATAAGATGCCTTGAAAAAACAAAAAAATGAACAGTAAAATTTGAAAATTATCTGGGAAAAAGACAATAAAAGGGAATGGGACTGTCATCAAAATACTGTTAAAATGTAGTTTTTCTAATGTGATTCTTGCTATAATGAAGAGAGGAAGGAATCTATAGACCAATATCCTAGACTTACTTGGTCCTAAGGGATTTATATGATCTGGAATCCTGAAAGTGAAGTTTTTGACTGAAAAAGTTTTAGTGGAACACATTCTTGTCAACCAAGGTTCTACCACTTCTATGTATCTAAACAGGATCTGTACAATATTTTCTTGAGTGTCTAAGTTCCCTGTTTTCACTTCAGTGCTGATTAAAAACATTAATATATGAGCTGTTACTTAAAACAACCACAACAACTGCATACAATAATATGATTTCAGTGTCCTATTTCATACTTAGGTTTATGTTCACATTGGTGCCAGATTATAATATATAACTTAATTTGTTACAGTTAAAAATAAATATATCTACAGCTGGGGATTTAGCTCAGTGGTTCTGCTGCCTGACTTGCAAGCAGAAGGTCCCGAGTTCGATCCCCAGTACCAAAAGAAAGAAAAAAAAATCTGGATGTGATATTTTGGTGCTAAGCAGAAGCCTAGTGTTTTGTAGTAGTTTGAATAGAAGAAAATAGAAAAGGAATTGCGTGATCTTGCAACACAATGTGGGTACACGGAACTCCAAAGAATCTGTACAGTTGATTTCAGCAAAAATATCATTCATCACATAGTCAATTTTGTCTATTTTAATTTTATAGATGTTTAAGTGTTTTGTAGTCAATGATTAAAACATTTTACATTTAAAAGTAATATCTATAAAAGTTTGTATTTACACTTAATGGTATATATTCAGTAAAACTAGTAAAATTTCTTAAGCTAATATTGGGGGATAAAAGGAATGTTTCTTTTAAAAGAGGTATTTACGTTACTCAGTACTGAAAAAACACTAAACAATATAATTATAATTTAAGGCATGGGATCATATCTTACAATAGGTATTCTAGATAAAAGCTATAAATATGATGCCAAGAACAGTAAACAATTCTCAACCTTTCATGGTACATATGTACTACGAGGCATGATCCAAATATATAATGAATGTTTAAATTTTAAAAACTTATTACAGTAACAGACATATTGCCATTAATCACCTTCAAAATACCACTCCTCACTTCAAATACACTTATCACATCATTCTTGCTACTTTCTGTAGTTCTAGAAATCTTTTGTTAGTGTCTTTATGAAGTGTGAATAAAAGTTTAAAAAAAAATACGGTAAATGCTGCTGCCCAGTACCATCCAGTTGAAAGACAGGCTTCTAAAAACATGACACCGTGTCCTTATCCATGGCGTCCTGGCACTATGTGACTTCTGGGTCTTTCCCTTTCCCAAAGTCAAAGTGATCATGAAAGGTAAACACTTTGAATGGATTCAGGACATCAAGTCAGCCATTACAGCACAACTAAAGACATTCACAAAAGAGGACTTCCAAAACCGCTTAAGAAAGTGGCAAGAACCATGGTCAGGAGGATTAATGGTAATGTCTTCTGTAATAAGTTTTAAAAAATGTAAACATGCAATGTAGTTTTTAGTCATACCTCATATTCATATAAAAACAGTGAAATGTTATGAGAGGAGACAACCTTAATTGTTTTTGTAATTATGATCATTAGAAAAGTTAAAGAAAAACATACTTTAGCAGGGTATCTAAATAACTTCACAAATCCCAAATCATCCCCAGTAGCTAGGACCATTTTGTCACTGGTGAGGCAAGAGGCAGTTACATCCGTGACTTCTCCAATTACCGGCCAAATTCCCTCACAGCATACACCAAGCACACTTGTCCATGACGCCCAACTAATTTTTTCCACCTAAAAAAGAGAAAAAAAAACTGCTCTAAGATTGTATTATATAAACTGACAACCAAACTCAACCAAATTAACAACTTTTATGTAGTCCCTCCTTTATTAAGCCATTTCATGTTAAATTTGATAAGCATGTCTTCCTAGGACATGTCAACAAATTACTATTGTCAGGCAGAGAGCTATACACAATTTTTCTTATTTTTCTTTTAAAGCAGGAATTTGCTAACAAGAACCTTAGGTATATGGGTTCCCAAAGATGTAGCAGACATGCAGTACTTGAAATTAGATGTCATGTCCTCTATTTGTCAGTGGATGCTCTTTGTCCTTTGAAGACAGTGATTCAAGCATAGCTACTAGTGATTTATTCCACTTCTTAAAATGCCTCTTTCTTTACTCATTTATATATTCTAGCCCACTAAAATAAACTCACTCAAAGAAAATCTATAATTTGAGTAATGTGAATATAAGCTTCACAAGTAAATAAATGATGGAAAATAACTAACCACTTTTACTTTTACAGAAACATCACTATAAGCACCAGTTTCTTCCTACCTCCACACCGGGGATGGTTTGTTTTTTCCCTCTAGGAGCTTCAAAGAATAACTGTTCTTTAGCACCAGTGTTGACCTGTAAAAGCTTTCCTTAAAATAATATAGAAATATGAATGTATGAACAATATATCATTGGTATGATATTTACATTTCATGGGAAAAACTAAGCTTAAATATAGAAACCATTTATTTTGGAGTCAGTATATACTGGCAGCATTATATTTTCTTAATCTCATTATAATTAATTAATTCATTAATGGTTTAATTTTTATGTATGTAAATATATAAAAATATTTCTGTTATGCATAATGCAAAAAGCTGAGAAATAAATGCTAGAATAATTTTTAAAAAGTAAGAGCAAATACTTTGTTTAACAATATTTGGAAAAACATTAACAATATTGTTTATAAAACTGAAAATGTAAAATATAGTCCTTAGAAAAGGGACATACTATATTTAATATTTAACATTTATCCAAATTTATCAATTATGTCATATGCTATGCATTCTGCTGAAAAACAGACATGCATTAAATTCTTTATGTTGTGTGACTATTTTTAGGAAATATATTTTATACCAACTGTTGGGGAAATAACTTAAAATCATCATTAACATTTTTTGTTGTTGTTGTTGTTTTTTGAGACAGGGTCTCACTATGTAGTCCAGGCTGCCCCTGAACTCATGTCAACCCTCCTGCCTCTGCCTCCTGAGTGCTGGGATTACAGGCATGTGCCACCATGCTCGGTATTCATCATTAACATTTTTATTTCCAAATCTGAAGTTTGTCAAATTACTCTGACAAAAAGTAGTGCATTATCATGACTAAAAATATTTTTGTATAATATTTAAATAACTTTACAAATTAAACAACTACCATTATAATGACATTAAGTGAAGTATTAAAAAGTACAGTAAATGTTATAGTGCTCATGTTCAGATGTAAAATAAAGTAGTGGAAAATAATTTTGAGTGTTTGAATGTTTGTGTTTTACAAGGCTTGTGAACCTGTTAAATCATGTTGTAGTTTTTTTTCCTTTAATAGCCACAAAGCCCAGTGTGGTGTTGCACACTTATAATCCCAACACTCTGGAAGCTGAGGCAGGAAGATTTCAAGTTCAAGGTCAGCCTGGGCTATGTAGCAAGTTCAAGATTGGCTTGGAGTATAATAGCATGATCCTGTCTCAGAAAACTAAAAAAATAACAACCAGAAAGCAACAACAATAAAAAACTCCAAAACTACATTAAGTCAAATGAAACTTTCCTCAGATATTAAGTCTTACCTCTAATATCCCAGTCAATATGAGTTATGTAGCTGGTTGCGCCTTTGCATATTCCCACTCGCTTACTACTCACTACGCTGTATATATCTATAAAGTTGTCATGGGAGGCCACTGCGAGGTATTTCCCAGAACCTACAACAGAACATATTTGCTCGATATTTTGTACCTATGGGAATATTTTTTTATACTCTGTAACTGGAGTTAATTTTCTTAATATATTTTGGGAGAAATTTTAGGTGTTGTATAAGTTATAGCAAGACTGATATGTTAAATGACAAATAACACATTTTCAAGCATATAAATAATTAACTAAATTTTAATTTTACTGTAACAAATTAGTTCAGTGGAGAGCAAATTACCAAAAATTATACACACTGTAATTTTGATGTGCATCATATTAAAGATACCCTCTAAATTTAGGACAAAAGAAAATTTAATCAGCAGAACTAAATTTTGCCTTAACATTAGTAGTTCCTACGTTATAGTGGGTTTACTAGTTGATAATGCATACAAGGAAATTGTTAGAGTAAGATTAATACAATTTCAAAAGCCGGCCAAGAATATCATGAAGACAGTCATCTAATCCTGTTTTACATTACAAATGAAAACAGTGAGGTTAGAGAAGTGCCCTGGCCCAACTCATAGGGAACATGTAGTGACATAAGAATTAGCACTAAACAAGATAGCTGCACTAATTAAATGCAGAAAGTTTTATCTCTCACCATATGGCCTCTTCTAGTGAAAAAAGTAAAATTCTGAGATAAAATAAGTTGTTAAGAAATCACTCACTGCCAGACCAAGGTTAATAGTCAAATACAATTTCAATGTTATTTTACCAGGTGAAAATCGAATATCTGAAATAATATCCTTTCTGTGATGAAAAGACACAAGGTCCTCTAGAGTATCTGCATTTGCCATTAAGAAACTTCCATCATTGAGACCTACAGCTAAAGCTTTTCCATCAGGAGAAAAACAGCAACACCTCCCACCTGAAAGAGAAAGAGAACATACATCAGGTAATTCTTTAAATTAGTTTTTAAATTACAAGCTTAAAGGACCTTTAATTTGGATGAGGATGCCTATATTTATTATTGTCTCACGTTAACATAAAGGAGGAGTCAAGTCATGCATATGTACTGGCCATGGTGACGCATGCCTGTAATCCCAGCACTGAAAGGTTGAGACAGGTGGATCTAGAGTTCAAGGCCAGCCTGGGTTACATAAAGAGACCCTGTCTCCAAACAAAACAAAAATTAAAAAAGAAAAGCTATAGAACAAGTTTTCTATGAAAATCCAAGTACAGAAGTCTAAGCAGGAATAAAAACAAACTCATTTTGGTCAGGCATGGTAGCTCACACTTGTAATCCCAGCACTTGGGAGGGAGGCTGGGGCAGGAGGATCACCATGAGTTCCAGGCCAGTCTGAACTACATAGTGAGACCCTGTCTCAAACAAACAAAACAAACCAAAAGAAAACTCAAAACAACAGACAAAAACCCCCACATTAATTTCTCATTTTACCAAAAGTGAGTACTGCCATCAATTGTGAAAGAAGTTATGCTGATGAAAAAGAATGAGAGGTATTAACTAACACCAAAAAATCATTGACCATTGTGGCATGGTGGCCCAGGTGAGTTCAAGGCCAGCCTGGCCTACAAAGTGAGTTCAAGACCAGACTAAACTACAAATCAAGACCCTGCCTTAAAAAAAGGTCATTGACATAAGCAGAAATATTTTTGGGAAATGAGAGTATTACATTTGTAGATTTTATCTAACAAACCAGAAATTTAAGAAACAAGGCCAATTTATATAATAATACTTTGAAATATATATATATATTTTTTTGTACCAGGGATGGGGATTGAACTCAGGTCCTTGCACTTGCGCAGCAGGCAGCAAAACCACTGAGCTAAATCCCCAGGCCCTACTTTGAAATATTTTTAAAAATCTGACAACTGGATAACTGAGTGAGGGAGACCAGGGCACTAGCAACAGTGAGTACCTCTGACTCAGTGCTGTAGAAAAGCAGCTACTCTGAGGCAGGGCCAAAGATAAAGTCTGATACAGAACCATAAATGAGAAGACAATCCAGCTGGACTAAAATCAGGCTGACTAAAGAAGGGAGGGAGCCCACAGACAAGCTATCCTCCCAACTGGGCAGGGGGAAGTTAAACTACTCCAACCTAGGGACTCACAGAAGCCTCAACAGTAATGGGGTAAAATTTCATTGCATGTACCAGGGCTCCTGTCCCCAGAGTCAGCAGGCAGAAAGACACCAAGGGGAAGGCGAGAAGGTTCCCTCAACACAATTTTAACAACAATAACAAGAAGCCACCTATTTCTCCCACGTACAATGGGAGTTGTTATGTGGAACACTCAGCACCCTACCCAGGATTGTCAGTGGCCTCCCACTGAGGGAGGGAACACCCAGCAATGCCTAGAGGAGAAGTTAACAAGGAAACGAACCTTAGTTCTTTGACAAAATCAGAAAACAGTATGGCAACAGGAGGCAGGAGAGAGAAAGAATGCCTTCCAGTGGTTTCTACAGGTGGAGCAGAATTAGGTAACGGTAAACAAAAGCTGGGATAGTGGCCTTAGGGTCATATAACAGGCAAGAAAAACTTATGAAGGGAAGACACAGAGAAGTCCATGACATTTATCCTCCGGATCAATTAAGATAACCAGATCCTCAGAGGCCTGCAGGGGGCCTGCCTAGAGGTGAACGATATGGAGGGAACTTCATGAGTTCCACGAGCTAGGAGGGAACGCACTCCCCAAAGCTTCAGGGAGGCAACTGTCTCCACAGGAGGAAACTGTGTGGTTGACTGAAACCAGACTGTGACACCAGTGAAGAGGGAGCTGTGTGAAAGATTTGGGTTATTGTTCTAAGAACTGTGCTAAGGTTTTTTATTTTTACTTGTGTGGTGATTTTGGCAATTACAGGTATTATAACCTTACGAATTTGTTGTATTTGGATTATTTTGGTTGGCTTTTGTTGCTGTTTCTGTTCTTTGTTGTTGTTTTTTTCTTTTCATTCTCTGCTTTCTTTTTTTTAAAATCTTTTCTTTTGGTTCTCCTTTAGTGCTACTGGATGACTATAATACTTTTAGTTTCAAGGGTTTCCCACTTAACCTGCTCCCTCTTTTAATGTGCCTTCCCTTCTATCCTTAGCTCTCTGCCTGCCTCATTCTTAGTCCTACCCTAACCCTCACTATCTCACCTTTCCCTTCTCTGCCTCCTCCCCATCTATCTAAGAGTATAAACATAACAGGAAACTGTATAAGTGCATTAGAGAATAAGCATTAACCAGTGCTATCTATAAGTAAAACAGTACATTTAAGGGAATATCAAGGTAATCCTTAACAAAATTTGGCTTAGCAAGACCAAATAAAACTACCAACAGCATGTTAATAGGCACCAGCAATCTCAGTCTCACTCAGTCCCTAAATATACTGCCAGCCACCTGCATATATCCTCTTGGCTACGTAAACACTCCTCCAAACCGTCCCTCACCGGGCCTTTATCCTAACTATAAAATACCTCCAACATAATCCCACTTCCTATCTATTTTCTACCTACTGACATATCTCTTACCTTCCTCTTTTCCCACTGACATAGGACTTTTACTCTTCTACACCTCACACATCCCAGTACAATAAAGTCTGTAAGGGGTATTAATAAAAAAGTAAATTCATCAAAATAAGCTTTACTGTTTATGATTAATATATGGAAAATTTTGTTGATATTATAACCAATAGAAATTTTCTCCTTATAACACAGTGACAGGGTCCATCCTAATTAAAAGGAAAATTTTGTATGGGTGAACAATATTCCTAGACATATAAAGTTACAAACACATCATTGGAAAACAGGTTCTAACTAAAGAGATCTTAATATCAACAACAAACTCTCCTCACTCCATTTGACCTCAATCTCAGCATCAGAAAAAGAACACACACACACACTCACACATGAACATGAAAAAACAAGGCAACAAAAAGCTCCCAAAGTTTCCCAACACAGATCCAAGGGGGCACTGATGGAGAGAAAAGCAAATATCAGCTAGCAGATCTTTGTAAAATAATTAAAGAAGAGATAAAGAAATTTGATGGTTTCAAAGAGGACCTGACCCAAAAGATGATGGAATCAACATACAAACTGGCCAATATAGATATGGAGAAACAAAAATTAAAAGAGCTGACCAAAACAGTTCAAAGCATGAATGACAAATTCACCAAAGATACAGACTTCATAAAAAGTTCTGTAAACAGAAAATTGTATATAATTCACAAATTACAGAAATGATCAATGTAAAGATAGGGTTTCTGAAATTGAAGACAAAATGGATTTTTGCACCAAATACTGGTGAACCTAACTTTATAAAACAAACACTGCTGGATCAAATAAGCACCAACACAATCATAGTGGGTGACCTCAATATTCCACTTTCACAAAAAGACAGATAAACAAAACGAAACAAAAATCAACAAAGAAATATCAGAGCTGGACTAAACCTTTGGACAAATTAACTTAACAGATATCTACAAAGTATTCTATCCTACTACACAACAGCATACACATTTTTCTTAGCAATACACAGAACTTTCTCCAAAATAAACCACATACTAGTTCAGAAAGCCTGTTTAAATAAATACAAAAGAACTGAAATCACACCATGTATGCTATCAGATCATTGTGCATTGACACTAGATATCAATCACAAGTGAAACCACAGAAAATTTATAAATATCTGGATGCTTAACACATTCCTGAACACTCAATGTTTCAAAGAAGAAATCAAGGAAGTAATTAAATAATTCCTCAATCAAATGAGAATATCAGTACAACACACCAGATCCTATGGGACACAATGAAAGCAGTCCCAAGAGGGAAGTTTATTGCAATCAAGGATCACATTAGAAAGATACAGCTAGCTCAAACAAATAACCTAATGATGAACCTCAAGATACTCATAAAACAACCACAGTACAAACCCAAGCCTTTTAAGGAGGGAAACCATAAAGATCAGAAATCAACAAAATTGAAACTAAAAATACAATACAAAGTATCAATGAACTAAAGAGGTGGTTCTTTGAAAGAATAAACAAAATAGACAAACCCTTAGCCAAATTTAACAAATGAAGTAGAGAAAAAAACTCACATCAATGTAATTAGAAATGAAGAAGGCAAAATCACAATGAACACCACCAAAATTCAGATCATCAGTAAATATTATGTAAAACTGTATTCCAACAAACTGGAAAATCTTCAAGGGCATATTTCTACAGCCATATGAATTAGTAAAATTGAACCAAGAAGACATAAAAATGCTGAACAACCCAATAACAAGCAGTGAAATCAAGGCATTAATAAAAAAACTTACTACTAACCAAGAAAAGCCTAGGACTTGAATTCACTGCTGAATTCTACAAGACCTTCAGGGAGATTATAACACCAATACTACTAAAACTTTAATGAAACTGAAAGGGAAGGATTGCTTCCAAACTCATTCAAGGAAGCCAGCCTCATTCGGATTCCAAAACCAGACAAGGACCCAACTACAAAAGGAAACTACAGGGCAATCTCGTTAATGAGCATAAATGTAAAATTCTCAATAAAATATTGGCAAATAGAATGCATCACATCACCAAAAGGATCATAAGTAGGGTTTATCCATAGGATGCAAGGATGGTTCAACATATGCAAACCAATAAATGTAATACACCATATAACCAGAAGGACAAAAATTACAAGATGATATCAATACATGCAGAAACATTTCTGACAAAATCCAATACCTATTCATAATAAAAATCCAGAAGAAAACAAGTATAGAGGGACCTTATCTCAAGCTGATAAAAGCCATTTATAACAAACCAACCACCATTATCTTATTAAATAGGGGAAAAGCTGAAAGCTTTCCCTTTAATACATTGCTTTAAAACATACCAGTGGTACAAGCATGACTGTCCTATCAGGTGGCTTGAACT